GGCTGTGCGTATTGTTCTTAAGTTTTCTATATGTACTACCGGGAAATACTCGGCTTTGCGCGGCCCAAGTTTGCCGAACTTGTGAATATGGATTAAATAAATCAACACATAATAAAGATGTCCTGATCAACAGTTTTCAACCACTCTTCTGTTATAAAATCGATACCGATTGTATTCAGCGAATATATAAAATCAGTAATTTCGCGTGTGATTTACTAGTTTACTAGTCGGTTTTCTGTTTGGTTTCATTTGGTGCTGGCTCTGCTAAGTCTGGCACATTCAACTTCAGATTGGCACGCATGCGTCGATGCCGCTCAACGCTTTGGTCAGGATTGAGGCATCTAAAATTGTTTCGTAAACGAGGCGTTGCTGTTGCATCACCCGCTGCTGCAATCGCAACTACGGACTCTGAACGCTTGCGTTGCTGTCGCTCAACACTTTGGATGGGATTGAGTCGTCTAAATGTGTGCTGTGGCTGTGGCGTCAATGGTTCCTCGGTGCTTGGAGCTGAAGGCTCCGATTTAGTTGCCTTTTTCAGTAGCTGCTTCAACTGGCGCTTCCGCTGCAGCTCTTGGAGTCGCTGCTGCCGCTTGCGCAGCACATCCATCAGGATCTGATCACTTTCAAATTTGGCTGCGTACCAAAGCAATATACACAAAGCAATGCCCACGGCGATGAAGAGATGTGCATTGTCTGATATCTCCAGGCTTTGCAGTAGTGGCATATTTGATAAAATGTCCGTTGTATTTAACATTTTGTTGGTGTTGCCTTATCTATGTGTATGCCAAAGAGTTCACGTTCAGTTCATATACGATAAAAATAAATTTGTTGTAGTCTTTCTCGATGTTTTCTCAGTTTAAATGCTTGCAAGCAGCGTCTGCTGTGATTTCAATTGTGAAATGTATTGACATAAAGTTCACTTGGATATTTAGAGCATGAGCAAGTCCCAATGTCTCAGAAACTCAAGTGCTTGGGACAACAAAAACGGCTGCCGCAGCCACAGTGAGTGCTGGTAACAAGGCTGTGGCACTGCTTGACCATATCTCAAAAGTTCAAAAAGGCTCTTAACCCGCTGCTTGAGGCTGTGGCTAAAATTGCAGCTAAGCTAAACAAATACATATGCACATACACAGACAAGTGGCATGAAAATAAATTAAAAATGTGTGAGGTTTAGCACACAATGACAAACACACACACACACACACACATGCATGTAGCGATATTAAGAAACGTGACTTGCCAGCCTGCTTCTAAGTACATATGAAACTAGGTATGTGTGTGTGTACATATTTAGCATGTTATGAAAAATGTATACACAACCCGGCTCTAATATGTCTAGAGTCTCGAATGCGCTGCCTTTGTCCGCCTAGCACGTCCCAGCAGCGACAGCAGCAGCGGGAGGAGGGGCAGTAGCTGGAGCCATCTTCTATCAGGCGGCATCAGACCCGCCAGGCTACCATTTAATGACAAAAGTTATGACGACAAATGACTCAGTTGACTTTCACTATGGAATCAGAGCCGGTCTCTCGGTGTCTGCCACAATGGGACTATGAATCATTTCTCGTTCTGTTGATTTTCATTTTCACATTTCACTTTTCACTTTTCCTATTGCCGCGTTGATTTTGCAGCAAATTTAAAAGCGGTTCGCTCATTTATCATTATGCAAATTGTTAATTAATTTTATATACATATAAATTTGTAGCAAAAAAAAATTAATTACGCAAAATGTATTTGCCTTTTGTGCATTGCAAATCATTACGACAGGCAGCAGATTCGCTGCATTCTCTAAAAATGTTTATGTAAATTGAAATTTGTTAATCAACTGCATTTAGAATAAATTGAAAAAAGTCGTTGGACTACATTTTTACTTTTATATTAAATTAATGTCACTTAAATATGCAAATTCTGTTGTAAGTCCGGGCCTTATCACAATATCAGACCGAACAGTAAATTGAAAATAACATAATTTGTTATGGTTTTAATAAAGCATGTAAAATTATTTTCAAAATGAATAACAAATCGTTAACACACTTTTAAATCAATTTAGACATTGCAAAAAAAGTAATAAAAACTAAACCTATTTATTTATTTTATTTATTTTTCCTTTAAATAATAAATATTCAACAACACCTTTCTGTACGTATGTGTATTTTAAACTCTGTAAACAATATCAAATAGGTGTCCAAATATTTGTTTATTCCTTTATTTAAAGAAATTTGACTTCTCTTGATTCCCGCCCACACTTTATATATTAAGGATTGGCCCATTTGCTGCTACTCTTGGCTTCAGGCAAAAGTTTGTAGCTTAATTTGATTAGTACGGACGGCTACTTTATGGTTGCACATTAGTCACCACTTGGTCTGAAGGCTAAATGGTAACTAAGTGGTTAAAGTCTTAAGAACAGTGCAAATAAACTTAGCTTAGTGGTATACATAGCAACGGACAGAGTAGTCATAAATTAAGATAATATTACGCCACTTGCCGCTAAACAAACGCCTGTCAATATTTGTGCATTGCATGTCCTGCTGCTCCTTCGGCATGCAAATCATTTTAAGCCAATAATAAATAGGCCTCAAACTCAAAATTGAACTAATAATAATTGCTGAAGTACATCAGCAGACAAGTTGACAAAGCTGCAGGGCACTCCTGGGCGTGTGTGCGTGTGTCCATGGAGAGCTTTCTCTCAAATTTATGATTTCATTTATAGGCAATAAAGGCACTCACCAACACACGCACGCACACACTCACGGCTACAAGTTGGAGTATTATTTACAGGTACACAAGCCGAAGGCGAAAATGTGCCGCAAAATGGCTCCTCGGCCTAGCGTTAATTCAATTTTATTGCGCATACGCAGCGTGTGCGGCCCAGAATGACATGAAGTAAGTTGAATTCAAGTGTACTCTTAAGTCCGGCTTTTTGCCCGTGGGTAAATCTGCATTGCGGCAGCTTTAATTGTGCATGTCTGGCAAGTGTGTACACACAAATACGTCAATTCTGAGCACGCCCCCAAGCAAACACACGCACACACACACACACACGTCCTGCTGCAGCAATTAATTAGTGTACTCTTGATTGCTTATCTATTGATTGTGCACTTCAGGTGCATCTTACACAATAACGCGCACTTTATCTAAGCTATATAAATTATTTTAACTAACTGTAAATTACAGTTTGAATCAGTGTTGGTCAACAGTAAGAGGCCCTTAACTGTAAATTAATTAATTTGCACATAAGAATGTATTATTATGATTTTTTTTGATTGCCATTTTTGAAATAAAACGCTTGTAGAAACTTAACTTTGCCGTGATCCTTAATACCATATACCACTTACATTTTATAGATTTTTATTTGATGACTCTTAAACTGAATGAAAATATTATTTAGTGGAAGTCGAAATATACTTAACCTTAAGGACCTTTATCCCGATAATGGACTGTTGCGAACTATTAAATTGCTTCATTATTCAAAAGATGTTGATTAAGATTACACTTTCTATTTTAAATTTGTTTTTTAGACTTGCTTTAGTTTATTGGATTCTTTTCTCTATTGAGCTCATTGCACACCTCTGAAAATGCCCGCATCAATTTTTGGGTTTTTTAATATTTTACAAGCGCTTTTATAGGCCGGCTAGGTTGCTGGCGTTGTGCTTTGTGCAATTGCTTTTCCCGGATATTGTTGTTAGTTTTTACTTTTGAGTTTGCTTTTTGTATGCATTTTGTGGGTCTTTTGTTTTACACGGCCTGCATTCAGATTTTTTCGTTGTTGTTATTCGTGCTGCTGTTGTTATTGTTGATGGTGCTCGGCTGCTACCGTGTCCTATTTGTATCCTGTCGGCTGCGGCACCTCTCACACATTTATGTCTATTGGCGCGCGTCCATTTCCATTTCATTTCCGTTATTGCAAAACTTTTCGTATTAAATATATTTTTCTCTCTCTGTTCTGTTTCGCATGCCGCGTGCTGCGATTGTTTCATTTCGATTGTTGTTGGTGGTTTTTGCACTTTTGCAAAGTTGTTTGTTGCTATTATTTCTGGTACTTTATGCGCCCGTTGCCATTATTGCAGTTGTTTCCTTTATTGCACTAGCAAGCATAAAAATGTTTGCATTTGCATATAAATATAAATATATTATATACATACGTTATGTATGCTTTGAGCCTTTCCCCCCTTTAATGTGGCCTACTTAAGAGTGACTGAGCGTGGGGTTTGCTTCTGCAGTGGCTTTCAAATTGACATGCAATTTGTTATAATTGCCAGTCCCGAGTGCGAAACAGCGTCCTAACAACTCGCGCATTATCCACGGAATTGAATCGGCCAAAAACCTGACCCTGATTAGGCAACCAGCAGACATTTTGTTGTTGCTGCAATTAGCATGTTGCGCTGCCATAAATAAAATTAACCACAACGCTCCAAATAACATGGTCAACAATGTTGCCCCGGATAGCTGCACCATCAAGAGTGCCGCAATTATTCTATACACTCACTGGCAATAAGTTGTGCGAAATCCCTGGGAAATTTAAAAAGCTTTTGAGGGGAAAATTTCATGCGAAAATAAATAGACTGAACATTAACGGAAATATATGCTAATTTCCAAGGATGGATTAATAAATGTAAAAAGCAAATACTTAAAAAATAACAACAAATCTTATTTTCTGGCCGATATTTGATTATTATTTTTGTTTCCTTTTAATGATATCTTAGACCCATAGTTTCTAAGCACTCATTTTCTCATCGATAACATATTTTTTAAGGAAAATATTTTATGTTCTGCTAAATACCTAAAACAAAAATAAATAGCTGGATAAAAGTATATATCCTTTTATACGTTTATATCTATAAAGCTCCGTCAAGCACATTTTAAATTTGTGAGCACCATAATGAATTCTTTTAACTGATTTTCGGTTAGTTTCTGCGCAAATTAAACAAATGTTTTTGCATATTTTATGACCCAGCGCATTGTGCACACTGCACAATTCGCAGCCGACCGCAGAATACAGCGCATTTAAATTAATGATACGAAATGTCAGCAAAACGCAGAACCGCAAATCATGCTAACATTTTATCTTTTATTTTTTTATTTTATTGCATTTGAAAGTGGGTAAGTTCTATTTGGGCATCTTAAATTGTATAGGTCTTTTTTTTGTTTTGATTTTGCTAAAATTCATAATTTTGCTCAATGCTCTAGAAATGTTTGAACGTGCATTGTTAACTCATTGGGCTAGGGTAGAATTTGATTAGGAAAGAACTGAGTCCTTGAACCAAATGGACATGCGATCTTCGCGGCATCGCTTCAATGGCTCTGTGTTTGTATACATGCGAATCAGAGAGTGGAAACGATTGTGCTTGAACTCATTTCCAGCTCTAAGGCGTTCACTTAGCTCGGCTGCCTTATTGGCCAGGGTCTTTGAAGTCGCCATCGACTGTTCTAGCTCTTTTTTCACTGCCTCAGCAACCTCCTTCAACGAGGGCTTGGTCTTGGTATTCGGCTTTGATATATCTTCCATCTGGTTTCCGTCGCTTTGAGAGGCATTATCTCCTGCGTGGGCATCCGTCGAAACGTGAGAAACTGCATCTGCCTGATGGCCACTCGCCTTGGACTTGACCGAAATTCGTGAAATATTATCTGATCGGTGGTCGCTAGCCTTGGATGGGTGTTCACTAGTCTTGGACTTAACCGAAACTCGGGAAACATTATCTGCCCGTTGGTCATTAGCCTTGGACTGGACGGAAGCACGGGAAACTGTATCAGCGCGGTAGTCACTCGCCTTGAACTGGGCAGTAACATGGGAAGCATTATCTGCATGAACTGTACTTGCTTTAGACCTTAACGAGATCTTGTCTGCTTGAATTTTTTCTGCCTGAGACTTCATCGAGACACGAGAAATTGCATCCACTGAATGTCCTCCTGCATCTGCTCGTCGGTTGCTGCGCGACACATTTGCGTTCTCTGTTATATTTATGGATCCTTTTAACTTTTTTAATTCAGTGTTGGGCACAAGTGTATTATTGCTGTCATACGAGTTCGCACTAATCTTGCTGGAAACTTTAGCGGGAGTCTGACTAACATGCGACTTGGCTCTGCTCTTTTTGGAGGTCGTCTTTGAAGCGATGCTGAATTGAGATATGCTTGATTGGGATGAGGCGCGGCATTCCCTGACGGGCATCAAGGTTGTCACAGAATTTCCCTTAGGACCGGTATTTGACAGAGTCGTTTTGGACTGGCCGCCCGCATCGATGCGCTCCCCATCAGCCGCAATCTGTTTTGCAGCGGCCATCTCCTGATTAATGGCTTTCGAAATAGCCACTTCACCCCTTTGCGATTGGCCGTTATGCATAGCAGCTGCCGCCTGCTTGACAAACGTACACTGCGAGACCGATCTATTGGTGGGCACCTTTGGTGGCGGCCATGTGGCAAACACAGGTGGCGGATATGTTGGACTGCTTGGCATCTTGTACTCAAAGCGTTCCCCACTTCCGGCTGGTCCAACGCTGAACGGATTAAAGAGTTCACCCTCATCATCAACAAACATATTGGTTGCTTATTTAAGTAATGTACTGCGATTGATGTGTTTTATTAAGGCGTTTCCTCTGCTTAATTACAGTCTACTCACAGGCTAGTCCAGCAACTGAGCACAGAAGAGCGATGCGTGAGTGTGAGTTGTGCTTCTAGGTGTTTTCAACGCCAAAAGTATATTATTAAGTAATTCACTTAATATTCAGTGCATTTTATTTTCTCTACAATCTAAACAAATATTCTACACTGATCGAATTTAAATTTTTGAAGGAACTAAGTGAAAACAAACGCAGCTCAGTATATAATCAAAGCGAGCGCAGGGGCAACATTTATTTAAGTAATACTCTTTGCTTGGCATATGTAGATGGGTTGCTTGACTGCAAAACGTGAGCTTAAAGTATGATTTACAATTTATTGAGCCAGCCAGCCAACAAATATTTTAAGTATGATTTTAAATATACGATTGAGTGTATATATTTTAGTTTCGATGTTGTTTGTGCACTTATCCCATATTTTGAAAATTTAAATTTTTAAATATCTCCATATTCCAATCTTAATGAAATTTCAGCCTTGAATATGGTATTGAAATACACATATATCAATTTATTTTATTTTTTTCGATACCAACGCAAAACAAAGATCAGAAATTTTAATTTTTGATAGATCGAAGACAAACAGACAGGCGGATATGGCTTTGATGATCCTGTTTAAGAATATATCTACTTTCTGAGGTCGGAACTGACTGCTTTTGCTATATTTAATGGGCTATTGCCTTGTGCATTCACACACATACGACGCAAGTCGATTGCATGATAATAGAAAAGTAATGAATAGTGTGTCTAATACACATTAAAATTGGTGGCAGTATACTGAGGGAGGCAACTTCGACCCCATAAAACATATATATTCTTAATCAGGTTGGCCTAAGTTAAGTCAGCCATGTCCGGCTGTAAGTTTTTTTTTCATTAATTTTTATTATAAAACCCTTACTAGGCACAAGATTTCATGGCATCAGTAAATGCAGAATATATTTTGGCAAGCACATCATCCTTCAAAATATGAGACTTCTGATCTTTGCGGGAACTCGCTGCCGGCTCTCAGCCGTTTGCTCAGCTCGGACGCCTTAGCGGCCAGAGACTTGGATATCTTCACCGTCTGGGCTAGCTCTTTTCTTATTGCATCGGCCACATCCCTCAGTGAAGGTGTTATCTTGTAAATGTTACTTGACGTGTTCGAGGCATTGACCTTAGTTCCTTGAATGTTTGATTGGGTGGCATCTTTCGCGCTGGGTATCATAGAAATATCGGATCTTTTATCTGCATGGCCACCTGCGTGAGCTCGCTTCTTCGCATTGGAGCAGGACTTTCTATCTTTGCTTGTTTGAGACCTGGCGGAGCTCGCCTGGAAGAACTCACTTGATTTCTCCGCTAATCGATGGTGCCTCACGGGCATTACTGTCATCATGGACTTCTGCGCTGCGGACCGAACCGAAGCGCGAGATCTTATGGACCTGACACCAAAATGATAGCGCTTTTCAGCAGGTACCTGCCGCTTCGAAGCGGTCATCTCCTCGTTTATGGCCTTAGATATCTCCACTTCTCCCATCAGCGATTGATCAGTTTTGAGACTATAAGACCCGCCAGTCAAATCCCGATTGGCAACCGTGCTTTGCGACACAGATTTGTTCGTATGTTCCTTTGGTGGTGGCCATGAGGCAAATACTGGTGGCGGATATGATGGAGTGTTGGGTACATCGTAAAGGCGTTTACAGTTGGTTGGACCAATGTTAAACGGATCGAAGGGCACACCCTCATCATCAAAAAACATTTTGGCTAGTCTTAAAATTTTCTCCACAAGCGACTAAGGATGATTAAAGTTTGGTTTTATATTCGATGTGTACAATGTCCAGGTAAAGATGCAGGAGTACAAGCCTTTTATTCTGCGTATGTTTAGTGCCAGAAATATATGTCTATTAATTATGTGAATTTTTATCGTCCCGGATTTCGATAAAAATTCAATAAGCTACGCAACTGAAGATTTAAAATAAACTGAATGAAAACAGGCGCTGTCAAGTTCGACTTTCAGTTTTTAAGCAACATATTTTCCATGACATACTATGTAACGAATGTCAGCGTTCATTTCTATATTTATTAATATTAATTATGACGACTGCATGACTTTTATATATTTTGTATTCATAAATATTTTGAAGAACGTGCAAAACAGAAGTGGACTAGGCCCAACCGAGCCTAGATGTCCCTTTGCTGGCAAAAGTATGGATCTTTTATTTAGTTCCAATTAAATTCTGATGGGTTCAAGCCTGATGTGGAATGAAAAGGATTATATGTATGTTTCTTGTTTTCGGAACTTATTTATTTTTTTTGGTTGCAAATTGCACAAGGTTTTTGAAGTATTTCAAATTCAGTTGACATCAGTTAGGCACCAGTTAAAAAGAGAAAATATCCAAGGACTGCATCGTTAAGTAAAGAGAAGTACGATCGCTGCGACACCTTTTCCAGATAATGTAAACATTTCGACTATTTTAACTCTTTCAAAGCACTAATGCGTTTGCTTAGCTCGGTGGCCTTTGCGGCCAGCGACTTTGATGTCTTTATAGACTGGGCCAACTGCCTTCTAATAGAATCGGCGACTTCCTTCAGCGACGGTGTGACCTTGTTAACGTGGCTTGAGGCACTGGCGAGACTTCTTTCGGTACTTGTTCGGGAGACAGAATTCGGCAATACTTCCATCGAGGCAATGGAATTATTAAGAGGCCGGTCTCTCACTTTGCTCTTGACTTTACGCGCTCGGGAAATTTTTGCAGTCCGGGGGATGCTGTTAACCGGATACCCTTCTGCCTTGGTCTTTAACACATTACGTGAGGATCTACTTGCAAAGTTACCGCCTCCATGTGCTCTAAGCGTTGTGTTTGATTTTGTGCGCTTGCTGGTAGAACTGAATCTGACTGCCTGATTAACCTGCTTTATAACTGAACTTGCCTGGGAGCTCACGTTGCCCATGGAAGTTGCAGCTGGAGCTTCAGCTATTTGGGAGATTTCGCTTAACGTTGGCTTGAATACGCCGGTGGGAGCCATTACAGTTTTCAGGCGCTTCAAAGGCTTGGCTCGTGCCTTCGGCAGTGTCTTGGACATGCCGCCCGCAGAACAGCGCTTGGAAACTGTCATCTCCTGGTTGATGGCTCTCGAAATTGGCACTTGGCCATCTTTGACAGACTTCTGTATGGACGGAATAATTTTCTTTTGTTGGGCATTTGGGGGACGTCGAACGTTTAACGGTTTAAAGGAGGCTCCATTATCAGTCATATTGACTGCTTTAGAATTCAGTTTGTCTGTTTAGAATTTTGATTCTTTTTGGTAATTATTCTTGTTTACTTACAATCTTGTCCGGGGACAGAGCTACACTAGACTGACTCGGCAGCTTAAAGTTTCCGCGTAATTGTATTGCCAAAATATATTTGAGTTTCTTTAATATTGACGAAATTTCATTTCCCTGGAATTTTGACAAAAGGCTCTTCCCTGCGCCAAAACTAAAAGCAAACTGAAAAATTCAATATAAAATAAGTATGAAATAAACAAGATAACATTTTTTACATGGAATACTATATAATTTGTACATTCGTACCCAACATATTGAATAAAGAGGGTAAACTTTCTCGCTTTGACTCCAAACATTAATGTTTTAAGCCATTTTAATATATCTTCGATAGGATAGAAAAAGACAAATAAACACATTTGCTCCAAAGAAATTAGATATTTCAATGAGTCATTTTTTTACTTTTTGTCTCAAATGCCCTCTCTCATGTAACCTCCTTTTGTTTGTGAACATTTTGTAGCTGAGCCGAGCTACCTACATTCCGAGTGTCTGCCTCATACTTCCAGCTCAAACTGAGGAATATTTTAATTAAAAGGCCTAAACGCCAAGCTATGTGCCACACATATTGTAATCAATGTTGCAGAGCCTTCGAGTGTACGTGCTGATAAGGCAGTTGCCAAACAAAAGGCTGCTTCCGTCTGGCTGACAGAAGCTCTTGACAATTTACATGCTGCATAGGACAAATTATTGTGGACTTGCATTCGGTGTGGGGGGTGTGTTTTTTGTTGTTTCATCTTTGTAGATGAAACAGACATAGACAGATTGTTTTATGACATTTCCCCTCTAAGTTTGAAATTATAAGCCAGTTGTTAAATATTCAGAAAGCAGCTGCCATATGCAGGGTTTGATTTTATTCGGATGCTAAATCACTTGGTGTACATAAGATTCGGCGTTAATTAACCAAACATGGCTAGATACCAAAGGCGTTGTCCGACGGAGTCCGTTCGGCAAGCATCGGGCGGAAGCATTGGCATTGGCGTTTACGGCACCAGCCCCGTTTTTGACGGCAACACATATCCGGTTATGGTTGGTGGAGTGCCAATGCGGCCGCCTGCAGCTAGCAAGACGCGACAGAAGCCCGTGCCGGGCATACCACAAAGGTGCAGCACCAGAGCAACTTTAAGGCGACAACAGCAGATGCAGCGACAAACACAGAATCAAATGCTGCAGCAACAGACAGCTCAAGTACCTCAGTCACAGTCCCAGACACAGTTCCGGTCCCAGTCCCACTCCCACGTGCAGCCCCACTCACAGCCAGAGCCACAGCCACATCTATCAACGCTGCAACAGCAAGTGAAGCAGCTGCAGCTACAGCTGCAGCAACAACAGCTTCAGCTGCAGCATGAGCAGATGCGGCAGCTCTACGGCGGCTGGCCGCTGGGTGGCATGGCTCAGGCCAATGCAAATCCCTTGGGCAATAATATGAATATGTTCAATCCATTGGCGCCAGCCTTTTATTTCGGTCCAGCGTTGCCTTCAAACAGCTCTGATTTCTGGCCTGGATACACTATGGTCACACCCGGAGATCCTAGCAGACCATACTCATTCGGCCTGAGCCCCACTGACTAGTTGAAATTTATTGTAGTGAAATCAAAAGTCGATTTAATGATTATTTATTGCTCAAATATAAGTTACTCTAAAAAAAAACAGTTCCGGTCTCGGGCTTTCCACTTAATCTGTTCCCACAGTCGGGTCAATAAAATATTATACATGCGGATGCATCTTTTTCTCATAGAGCTTCAATTTTTGCAAGAAGATATTAACACCTTAAACCATCTTATAAAGCTGCCAATTGTTATATTTAAATTATAATTAAATAAAGAACGACATTACTTTCTTTATGAATACTTCAGGCACAAGCATCTGCATTTGGTTGGGGTTCATTTGGATTTTTCTCAGCCAGTTGGTTAATACATTTTTTTATGCAGCAAAGACGTCTTCTGCATATACCTTTTGGCTCTGCCTCGAGCGAACTTCGCCATAATTTGATGTAACCTGTCCGTCTTGCGCTTTACACATCATCGAGTTGGGCTGTGCCTGGGCTGGGGGCGTGCGGCGTCAACCGGAGTGTCATTTAGTGGTAAATTTCCGTCTTAGTTGGCAACGAATGTCATACGTGACATTTTTCGAATTCCGCTTTTAGCATGCCGTAATCGGGCTATATACGTGTGTGTTCCTCGCAACTGAGTGGGATAGAACGGGATGTTATCTTAATGCTGCTGGCTGCCGTGTACCTGTCTTCCCGTGGTTTTCCTTCTGGCCACGGCTGCCTTGCCTGGGTCTGACGGTTCCCTTGCCATAGCTTTTTCTTTCTAATTATTTCCTGTCTGCGCCGGGCTGCGCTACTATTTATATGGAAGGACTCGTCTAGCGTTTTGACAAGACTATTAAAACAGGGTATTTTTTTATATTCCAATTGCGATTTCGCAGACGTTTAATTGCTCTGCAGTTTTTTGTTTTTATGAAATCAAGGATATTTGAGTCGTGTGATGAATCACAATTTCAGGAAAGCCAAGCCGCGGCCCATGGACTTATACTTAATTTCTCGAAGATAACTGCTAAATTTACTGATTAAATTTTCTTTAGCTTTTAGTTTTGTCCTTGATCAATTTGGCATGTAAATTTGGCAACAAAAATAAAAATATAAATAATAAACTTGTTATATATCAGTCATCGATATAAAATTACGAAAGGCGCACACTATTTTAAATCTCTTCAATTTAATCGAATATTTAAACGTACAATCCTAATGCTGCGAGATTTTCATAAGCCCAGATAAATTCATTATTCAGAGTATGTCTGATATCTTGTGCATATTCTTCTGATGTCACTATAATTCCTGGTGTTGTCAAGTGTTCTACTTAAAAGGACTCAAAGCGCAAGTTGAAATGGCGGCTCAAAGGACGCTTCGTACACAAGCAACTTTCCCTAATGATGATCCCTAAAGTCAACTTGGCAAGAGCTCACCAGCACCCATACACACACGCACACACACAGACGAGCATACACGGGCACTGCGCTCATAAGCACACAATGGTATTAACGCCATAATTCGTAAGTTACAACATACATACACACACACAAAGTCTCACACACACGAGCCACAAAAAGGATTAAGTTATATTAAAGTTGTGAACGTTGCATTTTAACTAAGTTTTGTGCGCTGCGGGGGCAGTGGCTGTGGCAGTGGCTGGTTTTGTGCCTTTGACACTTTCGGCTTATGGTAAATGTAAAATAGCATCAATAAATGCGTTGCATCTAACTTGGTAGCACTGAGAGAGTATGCTATGCAAATTTTAATGCAGCTGACCCACATCATAATAGTTGTATAATAATAATAATATTTGCCAAACAGTCAAAAGCGTTATGCATAAATGCAAAAAACTGCACAAATTTATACACTGGCAGGAAATTTGAGCAGGAGCCTTCGAGCCGGACGCGCAGACGGTGCCGCACTTTCATTTGCACTGCTTTTACTTTGCCGCATATAAATTTACAAAATTTACACCAAGTTCTTAAAGCGTAAAAAGAGTATAATGGAGTAGTCAGTTGCCACCTACAATTGAGTTTGGCACATATACTATGGCTAGAAGCCATTTCTTTTTACAAATTGTCAAGCGAGAAGAAGTTAATATTTTAAAAACAACAAATGGTATCTTGTCAGTATTTAATAGAAGTATGATTGGTAAAATAATTTTCTTAGTAGATGAGAGAAGCCTTTCATGTATCAGGCATTCGCTCTGAAGGATCAGCATACATCTAAGGATTAGATTAGTCAATAATTTGTATTGGATCGCCACAACTTGACCCACTGTTATGTTGGCTCAAGAGTATCTGGTATTCAGGAGTCACCGACTAAATTCTTACCTGTTTTATATATTCGCTTATGCAACAGCCGATGACCCCGGTTGCCACATTGTGCATGCTGCGTAAAGTTACAGGTCAAGTATTCTTTTTTTTTATTTTTAACTTTGTCTCGCTTCATTTTCGCACACTGACGTTGTATTTTTACGTGTGCGCATATTTATGGGTAAGCTTTGCTGAAAGTTTAATTTTAAAAAATGCATCGCTCTGACTTTGTCCAGTTGCTCCAACATGAAACGAGCTGGGCAAAAAAATTAAATCAAATAAATTGGGTTTCTTTTGCTGTTAGTTTTGCGCATGCCACTCAATTTATAGGCACTTGGTGCAGAATTGTTCGACTGCATTTAATTACCCGCGAGCCGTTGAACATTGCTTTTAATTGTTTTGTTTTTCTCAACTCACATTTCATTCCGCTGCCAATTTGCATTTTGAGCACTTTCCCTGCCGCCATTTGGCCGCTGAAATTAGCCGCAGCTCTTGAAGTTGGCTGTACAGCTGCTGCTGTCGTAAACATTTAGACGACTCCATTTTAAAGATTTCATATAATATTTAAGATGTACCGCTATTTAAAATGTGATGCGGTTTTAACACTTTGCCAAAGCAAACTTTATGGCTCTGCCGTGTTTAATAAAGCTTATATGCGCGTGTGTACATATAGGAGCTATAAAACCAACATACACAACATGAAATGCACGCACACAATCACACACAATAAGCAGCAGACACACAGCCGAGCTACACCCGGAGAACACACTACGAACATAAATGCGGTCTTGCAATCGACCTTGCATAACCTGAAGAGTCAACTTATTGAAGTGTTTACTGTTTGGAATACCGCCGTGCTGCAATCTAAGTACACAAAACATTATCCAAATAAGCAAAGTGCAAATAGATGATTTTGAGCTGAGTAAACTCATCAAGGTTTATCTAGCTACCTTCAGTGAAGCAGGTACAGAGCCTTCCGCCGTCTTGTTTTAAATATTATTTTATAACTTGTGAAAAGGGTAAAATAATAGCTTATAAAGCTGTGCGTAGGCACGTCTGAGGCAGAAGCAGGTGTGGGCATCTCAGCACTGGAGACAAAAGCAAAGTCGAACTTTCCTCTTGACCAAAACTAATTAGTTTTTTTAGTACCTTTTTTTTAAAATTGAACCTGTGCTCTGCATGTGAAACATGATACTCAAAAATGAATTTGTGTATTGTATTTTAATTAATAAAATTGAAACTATCCATTGAACTGAAGCATGACATATTTACGCGGGCTTGCAGTTATCTTCCACCAGCAAACAGACATCGGAATATTTGATTTTTTCGAGCTCGGTATAGATGCGACCGTTCAAGGGCATTTCTGGATACTGCAAATATTTCAGATAAATTTAAATATTTAATTGTAAGATACTTAATTAAAGTACACACCTTTTTGGCTATTTTCCAGCAGTCCAGTGCCGTCTTGTTGCGATCCAAGCGCAAATTGATGATGGCCAAGTAGCCCCAGGGATCAGGCAGAAAAATATCAACTTCCGTGCTGCGTGCCAGATATACGATAGCATCCTCAAGTCGATTCAACTACGAGCAGAATATTTAGAAATGCATATTGTCTATATATGTCTCTAGACTTACGTAGTACAGGGACAAGCCCATGCCGTAGTTGGCCAAAAAGTTCTTTTCCTTTTTGCTAGATGGTACACACATTTCATAGGCCTTCATGGATAATTCAAAGTCCCCACGCTCAAAACTTAAACGCGCCAAACGCAACAAGCTCGGATAAAAAACGGACAGTATATCCGTATCGGTCAGATCGATATTCAACAAGTCCTTGAAGTATTTGATTGCCTCATCGTAGTTTCGACGTGAATACTCCACGTTGCCATTGATATGAGCTTGATAGAATCGCTGAGAGCAAAAGGGAAATTCTCATGCCAGGGACTACAAGGGCTACTCACCATCATGTGGCCGCGCTCGCTGTTGTCTGTGGGCAATGTGCGAACTTTGAACTGGTTGTCAATTTCACCCTGGAGCATCTTCAATGTGGTATTTACCAAATACACCTCAATAGTCGAGAACTCATGTGCGATTTCATTGAATACCGCCTCTGCGAAACCGTAGGCGCCTAGACGTGCAAACGTCTGGAATACGTCATAGAACTTAACAATATGTACGCTCTTGGCGAATACATTGAAATGGTCGGGCATAAAGGTCTCGAAGAGTGAGCGTGGTATGAGCGGCATTGTTCTGCCCGGTACATCGTAAAGATTCTCATACTTCCAGCGTGTGAACTCCATGCCGGGTAGATAGTTTTTCTGCTTGTAGAAGCAATACAGAAGCACCCAAGCCTCGCGATCCAAGTTGTTGTTGCTGGCGAAGGCGCGCAGCTTTTCAATCATATTGCTGTAGGCCTCGCCCGGCAGCTCCTCCGACTTCAGCTGCACCTCGTAGTCAATGTAAAGCTTCAGAAGATTTCTATGTGGATGAGGATAGGTTTTGTAATTCTCTTGACTTGCCATAACAATTACTAATACACACACAAAGTATTCGCCCTGCCAATTGTGCTCCTTTTGAGTTTGCAAATAGTTGGTGGCATGCTCAAAGTTCAGGCTCTCGACAGAATTGAGGAACACGTAGAAATTGAGTAGCATGTGATTGGTGCAGGCAGCATTGAGCTCGGTGAACAGCTGCTTGGCCAACACGCAGTCGCCAATGATGCACAAGTTGCGATACTCCTCCATGAGGCGCCTCATCCGCGGCTGATCGTTGTCTTGGTTGAGCACGCAGTTGCTGATAGACTCCCAGCCGCAGCCATTCAGAAGGCCATAGATGCGCTCCATCAGCTCCTTGTGCATGTGCGTCAGCATCTCCTGCGTGATTGGAGGAATAGGTAACTTTTCATATCCTAAAACTCAGGAAAGTACTCACGCGAAACTCAATGTTGGTCTTGGTGGGCATGCGCACATTGAAATCGCAGCCACAAATGTCGACTAGCAGATTCCTGAGGTTGCTCAAATTGCAGCAGAAATAGCTGTGCCTCTCCTCAATGCTCGTCACATCGTTCTTGATGATGAAACTGATCAGCTCCTTGATGTGCTCGTCGAAGTTGCGATACAACTCCTTCAAAATGTCACGAGCGTTATCGTCCTCGTTCTGAAAATCAACCGCTGTGCACCGACGCAGCTTGGCGGACTTCAAGTCACTCTCGTTGTAGGCATCCAGAGGCTCATTGCGCTTTGTTAGCGGTTGAAAGAAGCATAAGTTCACAATGGCAAACATGGGCAGTTCTGGCGAAGATCCTTCGGACGGCCTGAATGTCTTTCTTGTAGTTTTTTTGTTCACAGATGACAGCTGAGCAGCAAAGCGGCAAGCGTTTACTAAAAAATGGAAATAAAATTTACGTTCACATTAATTGCGTTTTAAAAAAAAAAAAGGCTACATTTCTCCAAGTGCATTGTATATCTTATCTGACAAACCGAAGAGAGCAAGATGAACACGAATTTCGACCTTATTTTAACCAATAAGATGATGCGTTAAAAATTTGAGGTTTCTGTATCCTTTAGTTACAGAGATGAAAAGTAAAAAGATCGTTGAGCAGGCGGGCGGACAATCGAGTCGCCTATTGATGGTGGTTAAGAATACATTTATATAGTTAATGCTTCCTTCTGCCAATATACCCTTTTACTCCGGCTAAGGCTGTAATACAAAGCATTTAATACTCACCCTCTGGATAGCCGAAGACGCTTGGATTGATGACGCCCTCGTACATCACATTGAGAGGGATTTCATCGTAGAGCTGCAGGAGCAACTCATAATGATTGTGCACAACGGCGGCTTCGAGTATTTCTTGCATCTGTTTGGTCAGGACATACCGATGCAGCGAGTTATTGATCAGTGCGCTGTCCGCTGCAGTATCGATCTGTTCCAGCTTGAAATCAACTCCCTGCGTCATGAGCAACTGACGGAACAGGCGATGCATCTTGATGCGCAGATTTGTTTCCATTTGAACGTTGGCAACGCCGAGGGGCGCCTTACCCAAGAGGTCGCGCTTAATGTTCTCCCACACGACGACAATGTTCTGCTCGTTGATGATCTGCGAACCAAAGCCATAGAAGGTGCACAGGGGCAGCATCTCATACTGATCATTCAGGACTGGCTTTGTGGAGCGAATGGAGATACTCATGCCCAGATGTGTGGCTCTAGCATGCAGATCCTCGGGCGCATTATAAATGGACTCCAGCGTAATAAAGACCAGATTTGTAAAATGTGTCTTTTTGAGTATGGGCAGTATGGAGTACATGTGCCACTCGCTGGTGGTGGTTATCTTTTGGGCAGTGCGCGTCTGCAATTTGTGACCGTACTCCGGGTACAGCATGATCGGAATGTTGCTGATAAAGCGCTTACCCTGAAAAAGTTGCAACAGATCGCAATGGCCTCTCGATACGAGTTCCAGACATTCATCTATATATTCCTCGTCCTCTTCCTCGACGTCCTCGTCCGTGAATGCATCTGGCTCTACGGGGGCAAGCCCATCGGTAGCAGTATCCATTTCTTTGGTCGCATCCCCAGCAGCTTTATCGGTTTCCTTTGGCTTTTTGGCCAAGTCCTTCTCAGGCTCTTTTTCTACCGTAAGCTGCCAACTTGAGACCTGAGTTCGCACCTTGTCCACAGTAATAAGCTCGCGCTTAAGATGGCGTGGAATGCGCTGATACAGGGTGACGACCAGCGGATTATCACTGAATGAGTTCATGTCATCTATATCGTCCTGAATGATACCCAGCGCAAACGCTGGCCTATCCATGTTGAACTCATCCTGATGGATAATCGTCTCCGTTGTATAGTGCTCCGACATATTCTGCAGCGTGTTTCTAGCATGGTATAAATGCAACTCCAGCGGATATGCAACCACTGGCAGATTTGATACATTCTTCAGCTGCATATAGAGGAAAACTCTTTGTACTGCGGGCTTGTCCATAAAAGCAGGTACAGATGTCCGCTTGCCGGCAGAGAGTGTCGAGCGTCTTGTCTTGCGTTTTGTTTTAAGCGGGACACGAGATACTGTAAGCAGTTGTCCATTACCTTCCAATTTCATTAATTGGGATTCATCAAAATTAGTATATTAATTAATCTATTAGAATAATACGTACTATTGGACTGCTGATAGAAGTTAGACGTCATTCTCCCTGTGTCCTGTGTAATTAATTTTTTTCAAATCTAATGTGTACTCTGTGTTGAGTTTCAAAAATCAGCTGAGATTAGCTTAACAGTAATATACGTAATATACGTATAAGGTTACATGGCTTACTTGTATAGCACCTGGAAACTTGGTGCAAGTTTGGCCAAGTGGCTTGAATTTTACGTTCTTCATAATGAAAATTAAATATGTATACATGTCTACACATACTAGCACCTGCATATACGAATATATATGTATATATGTTTATATGGTATGAAGGTATGGTATTACATAAGGTCGGCTCGTACTCTTGCCGAGCACGCACTTGTCAAAAATTGTAACCACAAAAACAGCAACATCAACAGCACGTACAGGAAAAACAACAACAACAACGACAACAGAACTGCGTCAGTGCATTTTGGCCAAGGCCAAACCAACAGCAGCAGCACCAACAACAACTGCGACAACAACAACAACAACAGCAACACCAACAACAGCAAGCAAGACACGTACTTGAACCTTTTTGCCCAACACTCAACTCACGACAGGTGTTTGTAGTTGTAGTTATAATCATAGCAATACACCAGGTATCATTACTTTTAGCTAAATTTGGTGACAGCATGCAAATTAAGAGGCAATGCATGATTTGTGACACTTAATACAATTTTAATTCATAGTCTGCAATGCGGCAAAAGATTAATCGATCTAATTACCTGGTCCTCTCAAGTTGGTTACTGAATATAAATAAATGAATAAATTCAAAGCAATTTTTACTTAAATTTTGCAAAAAATTGCCAAGTAAATGCATTTTGTATATTAATCTCTACTACTAGTTTGTCAAATTTATACATAGCTGCTGTCCTACAGACTTAAGAAGTCCAAAATTCTACTTTTTATTATGTTTTGTAAACTTTTTTTATTTAATTTGTTAATCTGCACCAAGAATATTCATTGATTCATTCAATTTAATCAGAAAATTAATATCAATTATTAATTAATTAATCATAAAATATAATAAATTGAATATAAATATTTTCATGTTGCTAATGTTGATATATAGAGAATGTATGTTATACGAATCTGAATACATTGAAAGTCGATGGTAAGGGTACACAAGATTCGACTTGCCGTTGAGCATTTCTGTTTCCTGTGGCTGTTTGTTTTTGTATGTTCTGTTTGCCAGGCGGCGAGTGCTCTAAAATCCGCTTTGACAGCTCGCCTGTCAGCTGAGCCCAACCAAAACGGCCGCCTGTGGTGCGATGTGTATGTGTGTGGGTGTGGGCTGTTTTGCTGGTTGTTTACTATTTTGTTGGAACTCCGGCAACATATGCTAATGACTCGGCAGCCGGTGTCGTAACAGGAGCGGGCGTTGCTGCGGTACCGGAGCAGGCCACTCAGCTGGAGGCTTTCAGTCAGTTTAAGGCCAACTGGGCTGCTGGGCACACACACAGAAACACACATTGGCTTCATCAAAATGAAATTTGCTGGCAAACACATGACGTAAAACTACTTGGCAGGTAACTGAAACGCTTGTTCGTTATGCTCAAAAGCTTTAAAATGCGCTTTTAGTTGCAGTGTGGCTCATATGCAAATCAATGCTGTGCCCAGCCTTCATTGCCAGCACACCATGCAAAGCCCGCATACGCCATGTGCGCCCAGGCGACGAGGCTTTTGCACCTGACGCAACAAAATCAATTAGACACTTGCACACGAGGATTTTAGCAGCACAATAACTAAAACGACAACAACAGCAACAATTGCAATATGAACAAGCCAACAACAATTGCAATTTAATGTGCTGCCGTTGCCTGCTAATGATAATGTTGTTATGTGCCTATTATCGTTGTTGGTTCTGTTGTTTCTGTTTCTGTTTCCATTGCAGCTGGAGCCTGAGTTGCGATTGCAGTTGTTCTGGCTTGTACGGCACATACAATTCATTTGCATTTCAATGAAAAGCTTCTGTTTGAGTACACATATGACAATCGAGCTTCCAAACGAATTCCATGGGGAACCTTTCTTATTGCTGTTGAATCTGTGCAAAACAGTTTAAGAGGATTCTTACGATAAACATACTTTAAGAAATATTTTAATTTATATTTATTATATGAGTCAATTCGTTTTTATTTCCTTTTTGACTAAGCCTAAAACTAGCCTGCCTTTGTTAAATTCTGTTTTTTTAAGTTATTTAATTCATAAAACTGTTCGTAATTTAAATAATTTATATAATTGGCTTTCAACTCGGTTTTAAGACTACAAATAAAATATGAATTCATTTGGAAAATGCATCTACGAAAATGTCTATTAAAACTAGTGGAATGGAAGAAACTTGGCTTTGATATGTTTTAGAGACAGTTTTTGTATGTAACATAAAATGAAGTTGACATAATTAGATTCGAAAACATGCTTAGAAATCTACTTTAAACTTGAAATGCATGTCAGTTTATAAGCTAATGTAGCTCATTATCCACACTTTGCACGGTTGTAGAAACAACTCGGAATTCCATTATTTTCTAGTCATTCGTTGGCCCAATTCCAGAACTATACCATAAACTGTCCATAAACACTAACAAACTGCAGCCTCACCGATGCATGCAATCAACTTGGTGGCTGAAGCAAAAACAACTACAGAAAACAGCTGCCAACCTCAAGCAATTTCTAATCAAAATCTGTTAGTAAACGTGAACGGAGAAGCTTATACGAAAATGCCTGGGAATCTGCTCAAAGCAGATCAAGTTAATTCCAAAATAGCTGAGCGCAGCGAAAACAGAGGCCACAAAAACCGCACATAACTCTATGCTGCAAGCTAATCACAAACACACACACGAACACCTAAGCACACACACACATACACGCACACCAGCTGGCGTTTCAAAATAAGGGCAACAAAAAAAAAGAAATGTGCAAAAAATTTGTTAAATAATACCAGAAAAACTAGCAGCTGTCCCCGTCGCTGTGCTACATCGGCCTTGCCAGAAAGTATGCAAAAGATTTCGCTGGCATACCGGGAATGAATTTAACAAAGCTAACGTGAAATTTACACCACTGCTACGCACGGATCCGTCCGGGCTTTGGTGCTTGGACTGAGTGGGGTTCAGGTTTTCGGGTGCTGGCGGCATGAAATTTTCATTTGGAATTGAATATGAAAAAAGTCGCTCGCGACGCTCGGCGACAGCTGCTGCAATTGACAATTATTATTATTGCTCCGTGCGAATGAAAAGCTGCTCCCAGCCAGCTTCCAACTGGCACACTGAGAGCCAGAGGGAGAGAGAGAGAGAGTGTGTCCTGGCCCTGGCTTGGTATTCATATGATGGCCGTGTAGCTCATAACAAAACTCCAAACTGCCTCGTTGGCTTCAATAAAATCCAATGTACGCATTAAAATCATTTAAATTCTATTGTTTTTTCTCTTCTTTCACATATGCATTGGATATTTTTTTTTTGTATATTCGCTCCTTTTTTTTTGTTGTTGTTGGCGTCTCGCTGACAACTCACACACACACACACACACGCACACAGTCAGATGCTGGGGTCCACAAATGCCACGTAAGCTGTTTTCGTTACGGCTTTGGTGATATCAGCAAATGCATATTTAATGGCTTACGCGGCGTATGAGCAATGCGAGCTGCGATATGCGTTGCGATATGCTTGTTGGTGAATTTAATGCCTTTCAAAGCGCCATAACTCGATGCAATTAAATTGAGACACTCTAATAAGTTGATTTTTGTATTTCACGTGGTGAAAGCTTCTTTGATGCTGTTTTTAAATAGCAACAAAAAGTGACATGACATTAAGATAAAAATATAAATATACAATAAATACGCAAAGATGAATATGCTTATGAATACATAAAAATAGACAATGGTTATAAATACTTAGATGTACATATGGATAAAGCTATAAAGATATATTTTCTGAATTAGCACACAATTCTTTCAACAAAGGTTCTCTTTCCTCTATATAGAATGGTATAATGCACAAGTTGGCATATGTGTTTTCTTGGCACTCTTAACTCATATTTAAGCCATTTTGTATTCAGAAGCGCCGAAAATTCTACACTACGGTTGAGGGCCCACCTGTTCTGGCCCGCCTGCTGCCAGAGTATGCAAATGCTCAACGTCAAAGTGCGACTGAGCGCAAGCAAAGGGTGAAGCGGGGAACAATTGAGGTTTGAGTCAGACTTGTTTGCATAATGCGAAGCAGTCAACAGCCACCATACAAAAAATACCTCCCTTCGCGCGCACCCACAATTGTGATATAAAAATGCTGCGGTTTTTATTTTACAATTCCATACGCTGTACTTTTGCTCAGCCGAAGAATTTTATGCTGACAGCAGCGAAATCGTTTGGTAAGCAAAAAGGATTTTCACTGTTGTTGTGACGCTTTTTGCGTTGATTTGTTCGTTGATTTGCGTAAAGGCTGCTGCAATACGGCAACAGCTTGCTGGCCCAAGAGCGGGGTCCGGGTGTCTTGTTCAACAAAAATAAGCAGCAAATCCTTTTGAATGCCAGGTCGCAAACTTTATGGCCAAGTTTTTCATTTGGCGCATTTATAAATTATTTAAAGTGTCGCCGTTTCTGCACACGATGTGCATGGGTAGCTACTCACAGTTGTTTTCGAGTGAGTACGTGTGTGTGTGTGCTGATGTATGAATGTGTATCATTGACCTCGTGACCTCAAAAGTGCTTTCGCACACATTCAACATTTATAGTAGACAAGCTGGCCCAGTGACATGACAAAACCATAAACAGTGGCTAAACAAGGTGCTTAAATTATGCCACAAGATCTCAAAACTGGCTGTAAATAACAAGCCGTACCGGACTGGACTGGACTGGACCAGAGCGGACCAGGGCGGCAGGGGCGGCAAACAGGCGACTATAGCATCCCCTCAGGCCCCGCCACCATTCATATTTATGGGTGTAGATGAGTGTGCTGTCGGCTTCTACTCGCACTCACACTGACACGATGGGCATGCGTCGCCTGCCACAAAATGTTGCCACTCTCGTGCCCTCCTCCAGCTGGCTCATCCTTGCGCCTTTATGTCCTGGCTTGTTGCTAGTTGTTGGTCTCACGCTTGGCTGACTTTGGTTTTGAGCAATCAACGTGCAAGTTTGTGTGTGTGTTTATGAGTGTGTGTGTGACAGTTGTATATGTTTACTTAACGCTATTCAGCTGCCAACTGTTCATGCTCATATATGAATATCAATGGATTACACGTAGCTTTTGATGCAGGCACTGATGCAAAACAATAATATACCCAGTAATCAAAAAAAAAAGAGGTACCTGATATGGAACATTGAAATTATGTGTTCAGAAAAATGCTTAGATCGCCTATTATGATGCTTCTGATTGTCCATAAAACTAGTTAACCCTTTCCTTTTGGTGATATTTACAATTGGGGTCTATGTTGATCGGTTTTGTACGGCATACATTTTCCAATTTGTTGTGCGAGTACAGGGTGTAAAATGCTGCAAAATGCTTTAAGTAATTTTGAAATTTAATTAGCGACAAACAAAATATCGAATGTAAGTTAAGCTTAAATCGTAAAACAATAGTTCCTTTACTACTGTTGCTGCATTTAAATTCAGAAAAAACTTTACAATTTTAAAAATGTTTTAAAAGTTAAAGAGCAACTTGTTTCTAAAAGGTTCAATAAGTTTTGAGCCAGGCCCTTACCGCCTGTGTCAAGGCAGGTAGCTCTCCGCCTGTTTTCCGTTCTGATTGCCGGCCTGTGTTTGTTTACCTGGCTGCCCAGCTTGCTTCCTTCCTGTCAATGACATGCCACATAGACACGACGAAAACGATTTTAATTAAAATCGGATTTGGCATCGACGATTTCCGTGAATTTAATTGCATGTGGAATGATATTTGTTTACACTTTGACGTTGACGAGAGTCAGACCACCTATTTTGCCACACCAATATGTCTTTGATCTTCAACCACAATTCAACTTCAAGCAATAGTTGACAGCATTTTGCAAAGCTAACGTATACCAGACAGGGCCAGAGTCGAATAAAATGGGACAAAAAGATAGCAGCAAAATAAATAATATAATAAAAATTCATAAATGTATGCTTCAGCGCTTCTTGACACACGGATGTTCGTCACCGGACGTGAATGAAGATGTGTGTGTATGAATGTGTGTCTATACACATTCGTTCTTAGTTCATATTTCAAAAGAATTTGCAACTGTCAGTTTAGCTTTATTTGCAAATGTGTTTTAGTTCAGGCTACACGGTCAACGAAATCATGTGTTAATTGAGCAATTCTTATGTCAAGTGTCTGTTGAAATTGCTTGGAATTGAATGAGGCAAACAAAGAGGCGACTTCTTTTATGCATGCTAATGTGAATCTCTCAGAATTTAAATAAAACCAAAAATTTTGAATAAAAAATTCAATTTCTCGAAATTTGTGTAAGTAATGAAATCAATGTTACAATAGACAAATGTAATTAGAGCTAAATTTACCAAAATTTCAATTCAGATGTCAAATTTAAATTTAAGGTGGACACCTTCAATGCTTCCGGCTGCGTCTCCCAGGTTCACACATCCGTATCCTTTTCCGTTCGAAGCAATAATAAACAGTTTCCGACAGTTGTTTGACATATCTACAAGCCGAAATCAATTTGTGTGTGTGTGCTTAATGATATGTATAAACCTACTGCAAACACGAACCCTTTCGCCGATATTGACCAACCAACCCTTCGCCCCTTCGCGCTCGCCAGTCCACGTATTTGTTTGTGGGCCAGTTTGAGGAAGACAACGGTCGACTCACTGGTCAAATATAAAAGGTAGCAGCGGTTATTGCTTGATTAATTTCCGGTCAAATGGCCAGAGACACTAATGACTATTTAATGTTACAATTTACACTTTATTGATTTGCAAGTCTGTGCCTATATTTGTGTGTGTGTGTGTGTATGTGTGCGAGTGTGTGCGCTTATCTGGCTGTCATTGTAAACAGGGCATTATGTCAAGTTGTCAGATGCAGGCTTTAAGCTGCCTAGCCACTTATAGTGAGATGAATTACATGAAAACCAGAAAGCCAACTGAGTTGACAGCACAAAACTGTTAGCGTCCACATTTTCAAAATGCCCAAGGGTTCAATTTATG